TCATTTGCCCTTTTATTTTAACAGCAAAAGCAAAAGAAAGACTTTAGTGACTTGGGTTTCAGATTTTAATATATGAAGTTCATCTCTTTGAGTTGATTTTCTCTCAAAATCTGGAGCACATATAAATTGTTACCTATGAAGGTGTTCACTAAGAAAGCAGCTGGAAATGGTGCTGAGGTCAGGCACCAGGACCTGCCTGTGCAGATCCTGGGCTCAGGACCATTTCTGGAATAAAAGTGCTCCCTGCACAGTGCAACTCTTCTCCCTGTCTCTCCTGCCCTCCACATCTCCCACTCCCCACCCATGGCATCTAAGTGTTTTTAGCAATACACCACCAACTGAGAATCATCCTGAGAATCGTCCATATTATGCTGTTCTCTTTGTGGGATACCAAACACAGCACCCAAACTGTGGTTTCTAGCCCACTTGTCTTTATTTATTTATTTATTTATTGAGAGAGAGAGAGAGAGAGAGAGATTTGTTGTTCCACTTATTTATTCATGCATTGGTTGATTCTTGTATGTGCCCTGACTGGGTATCAAGCCTGTAACCTTAGGATATCAGGATGATGTTCTAACCAACGGAGCCACCTGTCCAGCGCTAGCCCAAGTGTCTTCTTAATGGGTAAATAATTAAAACTAAGCTGGTAGGAATGGGCAAGAGAGGTTTTATCCCCTGCACTAGAAGGGCACTGACTGCATAAGTGAGAAGTAGAGGAACCTTCCAGAATGATTCATACTAAATGTATGCACCAGAAAGTTGTGCCCCATCAAACAAAACAAGATTCAAAGCAACAAAAGTGATAATATTTTACTTATTTAATTTTTTTAGTCTTTCTGTTAACATTTTGGAATATATCCTTGTTATATGTATATGCAAATCAACAGAGCAAACATTCATGGGAAACAATGAATGCTTAAAAAAGCAACAAAAGAACATTTTACATGTTTAAATATGTGTTTCCCTCACAAGGATGTAAATTGAACTCTGTAATAAATTACAGTGTATTGTAAAGATTAAATGGTCTCTCAGCCTCCGTCCTCCCCTTGCTCTGTTCTATCCTACACACAGCTGCCAGACTAATCCTCCAAAAACATCAATTTTCATATGGCACTTCTCAAAACCTAGCTTCCTGGCTTCCTGTTGCCTGAAGAATCATTTCCAGTGCTTTTGTCTGGATGTCAAGGCTCTCTATGATGTGGACCCTCCTGAACGTTTCAGTCTTGCTCATTTTTTCCACCAAATACCAGCTGTGTGATCTTGGGCTAATTATTTAAAGACCCACCTTCTAACTGTCCTGGTAAAGGTCCCATGCACCTCCGTGGGCTCCTTGCTCATTCAGTCATGCCCTGAAAGGCCAGTACTGGGTCACATGCCAACCCCTGGAGTCAGGAGCCAGGGGTGATATTGCCACCACTGAATCTCAAGGACTGAGTGCGGGAAGGGTGGTTTTCCAGAAACAATCTGGGGCGTTATTAGGAAAAGTTAGATGGCGCCCTGGCCGGTTTGGCTCAGCAGTTAGAGTGTCGGCCTGCAGTCCAGAGAGACCAGGGTTCAGTTCCCGCTAAGGGCACGTATACCTCCATGGTTGCAACCACTTGATGTGTCCCTTTCACATCGATGTTTCTCTCTCTCTTCCTCCCACTCTATCTGAATGAAAAATGGGAAAATGTCCTCGGATGAGGATTAAAAAAAAAAAAATGTTAGATGGCAAAACAGAGATCCACTACAATTGCCTTCACAAACTCTGGACAAAATTTAACAAAATATGTCTCCTATGCCAAAGATGAAGAGACAAGTGAACCGCTTAACTCTCACTTGGGCCTCTTCCCCACTACACACTTCCACTGGGTGTATCCAGCAAATTCACCTGAGGTGCTGTCCCATTCCAGCTCATAAGGAGCCTCCTGTAGTCCATGACCATGGTAGCTCTAGCCACTTCTCTGCAAATCAAACCCTGCTGGGGAGCCCAACGTGCTGAGTTCATTTGTGCACAGTGTACGTGCCTTTTGAAATTAATGGAGTATGCGGTTCAATAATGTAACTTTATTTCAAGTTACATAAATTGAAGTATACCCAGAATGGTGTAAAAATGAACAAAAACAACATATTCCATGATGAATCAAATAAAATATATTTTGAGTTGCCGTTTTTTTCCATTTGAAGATAACAACGTTCCTGATAATTGCCATGATCTATTTGTGAAAGATACAAGACCAACAAGTTCTTCCCACTCAAGGCTGTGGCCAAATTGTCATGAATGAAGGTTCTCAGTGTTTACCTAAGAGCTTCCATGGCAACAGTCAGTCTGAGCCACTCATCTTCCATACAACCTTTCTTCCACACACACACCCTTCCTGGTTTAAACTTTCATTACTCTAGGCTACAGTGAAACAATATTTGCAAATTTCTCTTGGCCATAAACTCCCGGGAGTCAGGACTTCTCACTTTGGTTTTCCCATGGCTTGACATTTTGTTTGGTGCTTGGGGGGCAGGGTGGAGTTAAAAACTGTGTTAATGGATGCTACCAGTCAATCCACTGATCCATGCTCTATGTACAAACACTATAATAAATACTGGTTTGTTTCTTGTAACAGAGGTGATAGGAGCCTCTCTCAATAGACTAAATTCCAAATGAAAGAACGAACACAGGAAGGTAACTAGTTTATTTGTACCTACTATGTCACAGGCACTGGCTTAGATATTTTGATATGTACAATATTTCATTGAATTTTCACAATCCTGCAAATTCTTATTTGGAATTTTGGGTACTTTCTAAAGTAGCACAAACTCATGGCAACAGGACCATGAGTGAAATCCAGTATGTCTTCCACTGTAACTACCAAATCTGCAATTCCCATGTTTGGAAAAAGGAAAACTGGAAGTCACTCAGAGAGCAGTGCAGCAACAGCAGCATGAAATTTAACACATGGTTCCAAGATTTATTCATATTTAGGTACGATTAGGAAATGTTGAAAATGTGCATTTTAAAGAGTGGTTTAAAATACTCCAGGCAGCAATAGGAGCAAAAGCAAGAGGCATAATGTGACAGCAAGTAGACTGTATCAGAACCCTTTGGGAATTCCAGTGTATAAGAATTGTTGTTAAATTACTTTTCTTTTGGTCAGTTGCCACAATATCTTCCATTTGCATTATGCTTTATAGTTCACACAGCCCATGGTAAAAATAAAGGTAATTAGGGTATGGTTATAATTCATAAGAAAAGAGGTACAACGAAATGGAATGAAAGGGAATAAAAACAGTATATATGTCTCCAATCTTCCTTTTAAAAAATTAACTTTAAGATGCATTTCTGTCACTCATCTTCTATTTGATATAATAAAGAATGGAGTGATAGGAAGAAGAAATATATAGTTCAGGGCTTTGAAAAGCAAACCAGCTTTAGAGCAATGCTCAGGTTGCTTAGGGCGTGTTGCTAACCAGATAACCCAACTTGATAGGTCATTTCTGATAACCAACCTCTGCAATAATTCCATCTTCAAGAGAAATACAGAAAGAACCACAAACCTGACCTCAAAATGAATTCTAAGAGAAAAATACCCTTAAAAAAATTTCCGTTCTTATCAGAGGGCAGACCAAGGGGAGGTTTATCCTGCCACCCACAAATTTCCCAGGGAAGGCTTCGTCCAGAAAGCATTTCTCTCCTTAGACACTCAGTGGAACTCTGCTCTGAGTGTCCTGCTTTCATGGCACATGTCAGAGAATAAAGCCAATCTGGAGAGTGCCATGGGCCTCAGGACCACCAAACAAGTGGCAAGAGGCACACAGCAAGGCCGTGGTCACCAAGAGGGTATGTAGATATTTGCTGCTTTCTTGCATTTTTGAGCTGAGTTGTTAGCTAGAGGCTGCTCCTTTTTGATGAATTGCTAAAAATATGCACTAAGAGCTATTACTTATTTCTTTCAGACCAATTCCTATCTTTCTATTTTTATGCATTGAAGGCAGAGGTAGATTATTTTAAAACCCTTAAGAGATTTCTTTTAAATTTAAGTTGTCCATCACCTTTGTATAATAGATTTGAGATTGATGATAGGTTTAGTTAAAGTATAACAATCTTAAATACACGTGGGGCAAAAGTAGGTTTACAGTTGTTCATACGGAAGAGAATATAATAAATAATACAAGAATGAACTCTATTTCAGGTACTCACAACTGTAAACCTACTTTTGCCACAACCTGTATATTCTTAGTAAACGTTCCTAGTCTGTGTTCACGTAAGTAATCAGTATAAAATCCCTTTAAATTAAAACTTAGTCGTTTTTAAGAACCAATCCAGCATTTCCGAGAGAACCGCAGCTCTTTCTCCGGAGAGGCCGCGCGAGTGTGCGGGCGTGGCCTTCCCTTGGGTAGCGCTCGCCCCGCAGGTCTTGGGGGAACGAATGCCAGAGAAGCCACGGTACAAGTCACTAGCGTGTGCCGTCTTGCAGCGGCTCGGTCTTCCCCGAGATCGGGACGCTGTGTGGCCGCGAGCGCCCGCGGGCATCTCTGCCCGGGCCTGCGCGCCGGGTGTCCCGGCTGGCGGACAGGGGCGGCTGCGTGGGTTTTACGGTTCACGTCCTTAGCCCGCCGGGGACGCAATCGCGTGAGCTCGGGGACCTGCCCCGGGACCGGGACGCGGGCAAGAGGGACCGCGGGGCTTGGAGGCACGGGCACCGGGCCGGTCCCCGCGCCCGGCCCCGCCCGCCTGTCGCAGGAGGAACCCGGGCCCGCGGAGAAGGGTCTCCGCTGGCTGCCGAGCAGGAAGTGAGCGCGAGGCCGGGCGGAGGAGGAGAGGAGGACGAGGAGAGGGAGGAGGAGGAGGAGAGGGCGGAGGAGGAGGAGAGGAGGAGAGGGAGGAGCGGGAGCCAGAGCTGGAGGCGGGGCGCAGGGCCGGGCGCGTGCTCCGCGCGGCCGTCCCGCAGGCTCTCGGTCCCCGCCGTGCGCTCCCTCCGCCCGGAGGCTGCCAGCCCCGCTCGGGCGCTCGTCTGCCCACCCGCCCCATGGCTTCTCCGGACGACCCTCTGCGCGCAGGTAAAGTGGCACCGCGCCGCGCGCTCACGTGGAGGCGCCCGGCCGCGGCGGGGGGTCGGGGCCAAGCCTCCGGTGACCCTGAGACGTGCCCGGCCGGGGTCCGCTTGGGGTCGGCAGGGGACAGTGGCACAAGGTCCCTACCCCCACCCGACCCTTTCCCCATCACCCACGCGTGCACCGGGCGCCCTTCCGCTCTCCACCTCCCAGCGCTTTTGTTCGGGACTCCTCCGCCAGGTTGGGACAAGTCCCTCCAACCTCTGGCAAAGAGCGAAGGGGTGGATTCCCCTTGTCTTCCAGGCTCTCCTTTTCCCTCTCCTGGGCCCTTGTTTCTCCTCGTCTCACTTCACTTGGAGTAAATACGTTTGTGCTAAATATTGGCCCTCGAGCTATTTCATAAACTTCCCCAAACCAAGAGCCCCATCCACCTGTGGAACCCACCTGTGGGGTCTCCGACTAGAGGGCCTCTAGTCCTGTCCTTACTTTAAAACACCGTGTTTGTGCCTAAGGCCAGAATCTGGATTTTCTCCCGTCTCACTTGAAGTTTAAAATTCTCTTCAGGCCTCACCTCCCAGGAGTCCTCTGCCCTTGCTCTCCCACAAGGTGGGCCCAGTCCGCAGTGAATGTTTGAGAAACACAGGAATGAATGAGCGCCGGAGGCTTGTCTAGGTTTGTGGAGGTTGAAAAGGGTGGGGGAGACCAGATACCCAGATACAGAACCGCATGTAACTGCTTAGGTAAATGTATTTCATATTCTGTTTCTTGGGCTTGGGCAGGGACAGAGACAGAACTTGAATGTTTCATCATTAATTTGTGGCTTGAGCAGTTAGGAGGAAACAGTTTCTGGAGATGACAGCCACATTGGCATGGTGACGTGCTGGGTTTGAACATTTTAAAGAACTAAATTCTTCAAGTGGGAATGGTAAACAGTTTATCTATGGGAGATGTAAAATAAATACACTGTCTGAATGGCCTTCCCCTCCCTCCATACCCATTGTTTGGAAAAACAGAAGGGACATAAAGGGAGAAACCCCCCACTCCCCACCTCCACATCCACCTCCCCTCTGAGAACCTAATTGACATGGTGCACGAGGTCTTAGGCCAGACTTGACTAACAGTGGTCTCAGGTCTCATTAAATGATGATGGTGAGAGGAATTCAAAAGGATCTTGATAGGGTTGCATCAAATGGGGATAAATGTAAAATCTGCCTGCGCCCTCTACCCCCCAATCAAAGGCACCGGGGAAGGTGGTGCTGGGAAGCACAGCTTCATCTGCACACATGTATAAAAAGCCTCAGTGAGTCAATAGTGTAATGAGGCCACCACTGTGGAATTTAGAGTCTGGGATGGTCTCTGAGTGGCCTTGGCCCAACCAAACGGGGGCTCCCAACCTGGAAAAAGGGGTTTGGAAATCCCAGCACCTGTGGCATGATGGCAGACTGAGGATATGATGATAGCTGGGTGTCTACAGAAGGAATGTCTCCTTGACTTTGCCAAGCAGCGCCTGGAGGTGAAATCTTTGCCTCCTAAGGTAGAGATATCTTGTCACTTGCAGAGAGTGAAGAACTTATTCAGGCATCTGAAAGATGTCCTCATGCCCATGCCCACTCTGGAATTTATCAATAAGATGAGGGTTCCCCCATTTTAAAAAGATTTAAAAATTACTCCCCCTCAAACATCTCATTTAGTGTCTGTAACCTCCAGGACATACCCACCTACCCCTTCCACTTTTGTAATGAAGCCACAGGGGTGCCAATACGTGGAACTTGGTACCTCCCCATCCCACACTAGGTTTCCATCCTCCCTCCCCTGATTTCCTACACTCATCTCCCAACTGGGGTTTCACACCCACTAGTGCATTCCGTCAACTCATTCACCAAAAGGTGGGCAGAGTGGCTTTTCAACACAACTCAGAGCCTGTCATTCTCTACCTAGAAACCTGCACCGACTTTCCAACAAATCCTCTGGCTTAAATTGCTTCCGTACCTGTGAACTGGCCTCTGTCCCTGCCGCTCCGTCCTGCAGCCTCACTGCCTCCTTGGGTTTCCTGGAGAGCCCTTGTACCTCTGCCTCCTGGCTTTTGCACAGGCCGTTCCTGCTGCCTGGAAGGCTCCCTTCACCTGTCCCCACTCCAGTACCTCCTTCAGCTTTCAGCTCAGAAGTCACATAGATCAGGCCTGTGATACACACGCTCGTGGGCCCTGGACCTTTTCTTTGAGCTCGTGTCAGTTCCTAACCATGATTATTACGCACTGCCTCCCCCGTTGGACGATATGCTCTTGGACAGAGTGTGCATCTGCCTTGCTCCGCAGATACCTGCCACACCTGCGCAGCACCCAGCACGCAGTGCTGGCCGGCTCCCTGCCTCAGTGAGGGAGAGAGTGTGACCACTTGTGCTTCAAACTCTGGGCGCAAAAGCTCTTCCCATCCTGGCGCCCTGGAAGGTTAGATATGGGGACTGAAGTTACCTTGTATAAAAAGATGTTTAATAAAGGTGTGTGTATATGGTTATACTTTGTTCTGAACGCAGTTAAATCAACACCTTTTTACCAAGAACACTGACAGGATTGCTGAGGTCACATGGGAGGAAATGCTGGTCACAGTGTGGCTGTCTCACTACACCACTAGTCAACAGTCCAGCACGGAGGGAGTCTGTCAGATGTGAATAAAGGCTGGGTTGTGTTCATACAGAAGTTAAGACAAAGAAAAGGCTTTGAAAGGCTGGGCTGAGGGGTGGCACTGTTCACTGCCTTCACTGCGGTGAGCAGAGGGCCTGGCCGGAGCAGCATGCCCTTTACCCCTCCCCCAGCCCGGTTCCAGAGACCAGCTCAGGAGGGCCCTGGGGTGGCAGCTCAGCTCTCGGCCCTCCCACCCCTCCTGTGTGCTCAGATGGGTCCGAGGTGCCACCTGCCCCCTCACACGCTGCAGCAGCACCCTTCGGAACGCGGGACAGCTAGTTCTCCAGACCACCGCTCGCGAACCCCTCCCTCCCCGTGGGGTTCTCCAGTGCCCACTTCATTTCTTTTTTGTTCTTACAATGCCTGTTTTCTCCTCTCTACCCTTGTCTGAACCTCCTCCTGTGACCCATTGTTCCATCTTTCTCCCCTGCCCCTCTGAAGCCCCATGGACATGACTGACACACGGAATGTTAGAAGCCTCCTGGCTTGATCCCCGGTCCTTTCTCGGCTCGTTCAGCCCCTGCTATGAGGTCCGAGGATGACAGACGGCTGCTGAAAACAGGAGGAGGAATAACTTAGTGTCAGCACCACCCACGGCGGTTCTGCCTCTCCGAGGGCTTTGGTAATCCTGAGTGCGGTTAGCACGCTCCGAGTTTTATAGTCAGTAATGCAAACAGCTATGGGTCAAAAGAAAAGCTGTCGTATGCAAAATAATAACAGGAGAAGTAAATTAACTCTGAAATCACTAGGTCAAAGAATCAGCTTTAATTCTTCATCAGAAAGCATGAAGGCCCCCTCCCTTTTGGCTCAAGATGCTGGGAATTTGGGGAACTCGGACATGCTTCCCTGTTTTCTCTGAAAGGACACCATTAGAGCAGATCTTTGAACTTCCTTGAAGAAACTGTCCCAAGGAACTATTGGCCTTTATGCAACGTGACTAATAAAGGCAGATGTCACAACTCGACAGTGCGGCCACGGGCGCATGCGATGATTGTTCGCTGCGCGGTCCCGGGCTCCTGAGAGGTCCCGTTCCACAGGTGATGAGATGTGGGTCTTCGAATGGATGATGAGTAGATGAGATTGTGGATTTAGGGTTGATGCTGGAGTGATTCTGGGGATGTCAGATGAATGTATTTTACATGTGGGAAGGACATGAATTTGGGGAGACAGAGAGTGGACTGTTATGGGTGGAACAGTGTTCTTCCCCCAAATTTTGTTGGCATCCTAACTTTCAGTACCTTAGGATGTGACCTTATTTAGAAACAGAGTCTTTACAGAATTCATCAAGTTTAAACAAGGTTGTTAGAGTAGGCTAGTACCCTAATAAAAAGGGGACATTTGGACACAGATTGTCCCCAGAGAGTCTGTCAGGTGGGCTGTACATGACGGTCGTGGAAATAGGCAGCATTTCAAGCTAGACAGTCCCAGATCCAAATTCTGGCTCTTCCTTTGCCCTGTGACTTCGGACACTCAGTATGTAAACAGGGGGACACTTGTACCTTTCCCAGAGTCACCCTAAGGATGAACTGAGACTGTGAACTGCACAGCGCAGGTGGGCACCAGCTCAGTGGGAGCTCTGCTTGTCATCGATGAGATTTGGGTCTCTCAGTGGGTGACAAGTGCTGTGAACCGGGCTTCTTCTGTCACAGTGGCCTTCAACCTGAAGGTGCCCTCTTACCTGCCAGGCCCCTGCTTCTCACCACTCATGGACTTCTTTTTTTAATCCTCACTGGAGGATATTTTTCCATTTATCTTCAGATAGAGCAGGAGGGAGAAAGGGGGAGAGAGAGAGAGAAACATTGATGTGAGAGAGACACATCGACTGGTTGCCTCCCACATGACCCGACCAAGGCCGGGGATGAACTGCAACCTAGGTACATGCCCTTGACCGGAATCAAACCCCTGACTCACTGGCCCGCAGGGCAACACTCCAACCGCAGAGCCAACTGGCAAAGGCCACTCATGGACCTTTTTTTTTTTTTAATCCTTACCCGAGGGCACCTTTCCATTTTTTGTGCAGATAGAGTGGGGGAGAGAGAGAGGAAGAGAGAGAGAGAAACATCGATGTAAAAGGGACACATCGAGTGACTGCCTCCCGCATGTACTACCCAACCAGGGCCGGGAACGAACTGCAACTGAGGTACGTGCCCTTAGCAGGAACCAAACCCGGGTCTCTCTGGACCGCAGACCAACACTCTAACCGCTGAGCCAAGCTGCCAGAGCCATTCATGGACTTTTAAAGCTGGACAAGTATGTGGAGGTTCTCTGTTCATCCCTGAATACTACAAGCAAGGGACATGAGGTCCAGAGAAACAATGACCATGTGCTCTCACCTGAGGCCTCTGAGAGCCAGGCCAGGGGCCGGTTCAGGGCATCAGGTCACCGTGGGTGGGTTTCTCTCGTGCCTGTTGAGGAACTCCCCAGAAGATGCTCATGTGGATAAACATCACTCTCACTGCCGTCAATGAGATCCCCTTGGTCGGCTGCCCACTACTTTGGGGTGATCTATGCATTGTTTATTTCTTCATATTTTTTCTTTATTCTCGTAGACATTTGGGTCTATTTCTAGATTCTCCATTCTATTTATTCAGTCTATGCTAGGATCAAACTTTTTTTTTTTCTTTTTTTTTTTCCTCACCCAAGGAATAGAGTGGGTGGGAGAGCGAGGAAGAGAGAGAGAGAAACATCGATGTGAAAGGGACACATCGAGTGGCTGCCACCCGCACGACCAACCAGGGCCGGGGACAAACTGCAAACTGAGGTACGTGCCCTTAGCGGGAACCGAACCTGGGTCTCTCTGGACCGTAGGCAGATACTCTAACCGCTGAGCCAAACCGGCCAGGGGGCTAGCCTCAAACTTTTAATTGCTGTAGTTTATTTTTGAGAATTTACTGGTTTATTTTTCATATGAACTAAGAACTTGTCTGTCCCTACCCCCACCACAGAAGATCCAGCTCTGTGTACCTACCTGCCTCTTGCGTAGTTCGTAGCCAGCACGGCTGTGAACAGGTTACATTTACAAGTAGTGTGAAAACAGCACCTTCAGTTTGTACTCGTAACCAAGAGCAGCATGTCTTCCCGTTGGTGTCAGCCAGGCTCTGCAAAACGGCCGTCACACCGCAGCAGTGCTTCCCGGCTTCCGGGGACCCGGCCACCCTGCAGTTCAGCTCTGAGCCAGTTTCTCACCACTGGATAGTCTGGATTAATCCTGCTCAAGTTTGGGCTTTTTTCTTTTGACCTTTTGACTCCTTTGTTTAGAGTGACCCGTCCAGGAAGTAGAGGCAGCTTAGGGAGCAAGCTGTTGCCCGAGACAGCAGAGCTGTGGCCCGGAGCAGCCAGAAGGTCCCCTGTGCCCCCCGAACCCGCTGCCCCTATCCCCCGAACCCGCCGCCCCTGACCCCCAAACCCGCCGCCTCTGCCACCTGAACATGGTGCCTGTCCCAATGGCCTTCTCATTTGGCTGTCATGATTCAGAAAACAGGAAACTTAAATTCTTTGTTCTTCCCAACTGTGCCTCCATTTATTCTAGGGGATCTCAGACCAGAGCAAGACTCTGGTGCCCCCAAACCCTGCTGTCATCTGCTTGTGTCTTCCCGGTCAGCTCAGAGCCCTCTGAGACATGCCCCGCTGTCAGCGCTCGGTCAGCTTGGAGGCCACTGGAAGTTCATCCCGCCTGGTAGTTCCCAACCCTGACCAGAGTGACCGTGATCAGCTGGGTGTGGGCCCCAGAGACCGGGACCTCTCACCTTACGGAGGCAGAGCCTGAGGCTGCAAACCCTTCCCCCAGCCAGCCAAGGTCACACCGCTGGGTTTGTCCCAGGCCAGACCACTAGCTTTCAGTAGCATGCAGAGAGGACGCAGGCAGCGCCCCAAGCCCAGTGTGTGCCTTCCTGTCAACTGTCCTGCTTTCGTCCTCTCTGCACCTCCGCTGCCGTCGGCCTCTCTAGCCGTCTCCCCCACTGTCCTCCTCTGCGTCTCTTCTCTTCGCTTCCTCACCACGCTCCTTTGTGTGTAGGAAACAGGGCTAGCTTGTCATGAACACAGGATGCTGCCCAGGTCATTTAGAACCCTCCCCCCACCCACCCAGCACCCCAGTCCTGCACAGCTATTGACCTGAAACTCCATCGTTCATACCTGTTCCAACTGCTCAGTGGCGGGGGAGTGTTTCAAAACGGGGTCATCCAGGTACACTTCAGTGAAGAGGAGGTGGTTGAGATGAGGCTGTGATCGCAGAGAAGAAGGGCCTGAGGCTACTTAGTGTGGCTCCCACCACCCTCTGCCCAGCCAGGAGCCAGGCGGGAGAAGTAGGGAAAGAACAGCCCACGGGTGTGCCTGGCTGGGCCTGTCGAACCACACTAACTGCCGTGTCCGTTCTCCTTCCTAGCACTTTGCCTGTGCTGTTCCTCTGCCTAGAATGCTTTTCCTCCGACCTTTCTCCTGGCTAGCTTCAACACATGTGAAATCCTCGGCAGGCCCTTCTCCAGCCCTGCCCAGCCGTGCCCCAGGCTGGGCATCCACTCATCCTGTTTCCACGTCGTCAATCCAGAGTGCTCATGTTGTCCTCAATTGCCTGCTTCGTGGGCATCAGGAGTTCCGCAAACTCAGGATGGCGTTAACAACACAGCTTGTTCTTATTTTCTTTGTGTTGACTTAAATCCAAATCGGAGTCTATATTCCACTGGGCTGGCAGGAATTCCATTTCAGTCCAAATTGGGGGCCCGGCCCCCTCCTTAGGGTCACATAGGAATCTGAGAGGGTGATGTTGTGCTTGGAAAACGAGGGAGGGGTCTAGAAATTTTGGTGCATCAGGGTGGGAACCATTGTCTTCCTTGTCCAAGCTGAGGGGACCCTGAGATCCGGCAGCCCTCTGTTCCTGGGCAGGCACACGCCGTCACTGTCAGGCCTGGGACCGGAGTTAGCCCTCTGTGCGTTCCCTCCGGTGGCCGTGCCACCCCTGGGCTCTGCTCGTGAGGCTGCAGGCGTCTGCCCCTACTCCGTGAGAGGCCACTCGCTGGGTCCCCCCTTTGATCTCCCCAGGGACTGTAGGCTGTCACCTTTCACACGCTTCTCCTTGGGCGTTGTCAGGAACTGTGGAAAGGCCGCTCTCAGATAGGCAGGCTCTGCCCGTCTCAGTGGATTGTCCTGCTCTGCTCGTTTGGACCCGGTCCGGTGCGGTGTGCCCGTGGTGAGGATGGGGACAGTGGGAGTTGACCCTTGGCTGGCTAAGGCTGCCACTTAGAGTTTTGCAGGTCACACAGTGCAGATCTGCAGATCCCACTCAAACAGATAAGGTCATTCATTAAGATTTGTTTTTTTGGCAGATGTTTTGTGAAGTGTCTCGGAAAGGAGGAATTTTTTCTAATTTGCACAAATTCATAAGATCCAGTGGTAGCCTGTTCCTTTTCTAAATTTCCTCATTAAATTCCTTAACCAGTGATAAAACACAAGCAAAATATTGCAAAATCAAAATCACTTTTTGTTTGATAAAGATTCTGGGAGGTGCCCCGGCCGGGTGGCTGGATTGGTTAGCGTGTCACCTCATACACCAAAAAGGTTGCAGTTTCGATCCCCAGTCAGGGCACATGCCTAGGTCGTGGGTTCAACCCCTGGTCAGGGCACACACGAGAGGCAACTGATAGATGTTTCTCTCTTACATTGATTCTCCTTCTCCCTTCCTCTCTCTCTAAACTCAGTAAAAAATAATATATATCCTTGGGGTGATTAAAAAAATAACTAGTCTGAGGGTAGTTTTACTTTAGCAGTTCACATGAACCACGTTCAGATGCTTAATATTTTAATATGATAGAAACAGATTGCAGAAGAATAGGGGACGAAGCAGAAATCTGAGTTAAATGATTTCCACTCCAAGTTACAATCAGAGCCAATATGTAAGGGAGTCGTTCGTGTCCCATCGGCACGGTTTGTGGTTATTTGTAACTCTGAGTACTTGTAGATACTTATACATAAATTGTTTTAAAAAATAAAGTGCGTCCTAATCTCTTTCTGATGCAGTCTGAACCCATCCCTTCTTACTTTGTCCCACTGATGACTGAAAGCAGGATTTCCTCAGCCGGACAGTGGCTGTCCGCACCCACACGAGGACAGTTTCCGAAGGGCACCGTGGTGCTCTTACAGCAAGGAAAATTCTCTGTGCTTGTTTTCCACAGATCGCGTGGCCGAGGAGCCCGTGGAGGACACGGACCCAAGCACCTTCTCCTTCACCGTGGTAGGTTACAGATTTTCACTGACGGTGACACCTCTTGTTTTTCCTTTTTTCCCTTTGTTATTTCTTTACATTTTTTACTACTTGATATTTACATAAATGTCAGAAACCCCCAAATGAGACTTTCTCAAGGTGAGTTTCTTTACCGTGGTAATTGCTGTGGCCATAATGAGCTTTGGGTTCCTCCAGGCTCAAAGTGGCTTTAGACTCTGCTCCTGTTTGGCACCGGGCAGAAGTGATCTTAGATCATGCAAGGCCTTGGTGTACTCGGCCCCCTTTAATACTGTCTCTGTTTAATGACCCCTTCTTCAAAATATCTAACTAGAGATTGAAGGAAAAAGTAGGAACAGCTTTCGGTGACTGAGTGCTGCCCATGTACCAGCTGGGCACCATGTTTAATCCCCACAGCTGCCCTAGATGGTGGGCACTGCCCACTGCATAGATGAAACTGAGGCCCAGGGAGCGAGGTCAGCTGCCCAACTTGGAAGCAATCCAGGAGGGACTCAGACCTGCCCCTGCTTCAGAACTCTGCCCACCCTCCCTGGCCACTCTGTGGACATCTGCCGCTTCTGCTTCAGACCCGTCTCTGGCCCTGGCCTTGCTCCACTGTGTCCACCGTCTGCAGTCACCATGTCCTTCCCCTCAGTCACCTAGTCCTAGGCACCCTCTAGGCCTGGTTCAGATGTCCATCTCCCCAGATAACCTACACTTGATGTTTAATTAACACGGAGTCAGAGTCTGGGACTCAGAGATTATAGTCCCTTCTCTTCTCTCTGAACAAACAGACAGTACTTTACAGAGAAGCCTGGGAAGTGTTGCGAGACAGGTGCTTTTTCTGGGGAGCAGAGCGTCAAGATTTAGTCGGGGAAAACTGTTTGACTTTTAAGTTCTCTGTGATTGGTTGGTTGGTTGGTTGATTGATTTCTTTTGTGGAAAGGGGCTGGAGGCTTCTAGAGGTCCTGAAACTTTACTGCCCAGCTCCAGAGAAGCTCCAAGGAAAGAAATTTAAAACAAAACCCTTGGTTTCATATTTGTTTCTTTTTCTCTTCCATCCAAGGAAGACATGGGTGAGGCCCGCGGGAGATTTGGTGTACAGCTTAGGTCTGGCTGGAGGACAGTGGACCCAAAGGCCCAGATGCCGGGCTAGTGGGAGCTGAGCTGGGTTAGGGACCGGATGGGGAAAGTTCTCATGTAAGTCTTCCGAGAATGACTGCATTGTATAATCAGAAGTCAGTGTTCCCAGAACTTTGGCCGCTGGCATGCTGTAGGTGCCAACAACGAAATGTGTCATTATAAGAGTGCTGCTGTTGTTGGGCCCGGTACCAGCGCTGGGAACTGCGGAATCGTGCTGGTGACTGATTTGTAGGCCCTGCTGGAGTAGGGTGTGACTTAATCCAGTGTGACTTCTGAATCCATTCTGGTCAATGCAGGACAGAGCCCTGGAACGGAGAATACGGCCCAGGACACATGCTTACTGACCCAAACAAATGACACAGAAATGGCAGGACAGAATGGGTCTGCACCCAGAATTCATGAAAACAAATGCTCCTCATTTTAAACTACAGGAAATAGGGAGGAAGACCAGCACAGCACACAAGAGAGGACATGTGGGGTAGTGGTCAGAGCTGAGAAAATTAGGAAGGCTCATTCTGTTCCCTGTTCCAACATTAACTTCTCGTCAACCTTGATTTCATTTCTATAACTTGAGAATACAAACAAGTTACGGGTCAGCCCTGATGATGAGTCCAAGGCTAAAAGCGTGCAACGTTTTAATTAAAATCATGACTCTCCCAAGACAAAGCTTTCTTTTTACTTTGATCATATAATTGACTGTGGTGTTTAAAAATAACTTTCCTCTCTTGTTGGTTTCTGCAGTCAGACAAATATCCTATTCAAGACACGGGACTCCCTAAAGGTATGTACAGTTAATATAAGTCCTTGAACTTGTGATTATTTTAATATCCTGAATGAAGCACTAGTCAAAGTAATTTTTTATTATTTAAAATTGTGAAACAGAAACATACCAATCATTTAGTTCATGGCTTTTTGGATGATTGTCTCAGGCATGAATTTACTTATTAAAATCTGTAAATTATAACATTATATTTAAAATTCCTACCCTGGCCGGTTTGGCTCAGCGGTTAGAGCATCGGCCTGTGGTCCAGAGAGACCTGGGTTCGGTTCCCACTAAGGGCATGTACCTCGGTTGCAGTTTGTCCCTGGCCCTGGTTGGTCATGTGGGTGGCAGCCACTCGATGTGTCCCTTTCACATCGATGTTTCTCTCTCTCTCTCTCTTCCTCTCTCTCCCTCCCACTCTATTTGAACAAAAAATGGAAAAAAATGTCCTCAGGTGAGGATAAAAAAAAAAATTCCTGTGGTGCTTTTTTCGTTTTGTTTTTTGGTAATCCTCACCCAGGGATAACTTGTTCATTGTTTTCTAGAGAGAGAAGGGAGGGAGGGAGAGGGAGGGGGAGAGGCACTTCAGTTGGTTGCCTCTCATGCTCTGCTCAGGTTCTCCCCATGTGGTGGGAAAGATGGTCCCCAACACCTTTAGCTTCACCTCGCGCTGCTGGAGATGGTGGAGAGAGGGACCTCCCCCCAGCACCCACAGCACAATTGCAGGGACATCTGTTACATGAGCAGTTTGGCCACGCAGCCATCACTGAATTGGTTGTGGTTACCAGGACGCTGGAGGACTTTGGCTGGGGCTGAGCCTTGAGGTTGGGTGGGTGGGGAGGGTATACAGTCATTTCCGCCCAAACCACAGGAAAGTCCGTTCTGTTACCAAGGGAGGGATGCTTGTCAGGCCCCAAGGCAAAAACAGCACTCTCTCCCAGCCCATAGATGCTTGGGGACGGTGCAGACCTCAAAGGGGGCTGAGCCTTTGTCTGTCCTAGTGTCCCCTGCAGGGCAGCCTGTGGGGCTGTGTCCCTCCTGGAGGCCAGGCTGCTGGCTGTCACACTGGAGCCTTTACCTTTACCGTGTGTTCTGCTGACACCCCAGAGAGGAGGGGAGGGGAACAATCAGCTCTGACCAACTTCAGAGCTGCCCCTCTTCCCCCGCTTCCTGGAGAGGGAGGACTTCCCTCTCCAGGAGGGAAGCACACACTGTGGGTGCCCAGTGAGGTCTGCAGTACTAGGTAACTAGGGTCACTGACAAGGTGGGCAAGAGCTCCTGCCAGGGCCCACCTGTGCTTAAGTCGGGAGCTCTGCCAAGTTTCCCCTCCCCTCCAGTCCCTGCTCACCAGACTCTTCCCCTGCTCCCTGAAATTACACCTCTGGAGTTTTATTCCGTGTGCCTCCTGTGCGTGTCCCAGGAATGGTGGTAGGCTAGGAAAGACCAGGTGTGAGCCCCACCTGGCTATTAGGGAGGCTCTGCGAGCTCACTGCCCTCCCCTCTCCAGGGATGACTTTGAATGTCCCGAATCCCCCAGCCTGTGGTTCTCTGGTTCTGCAGGGGACTGGACGGTGCAAGCCTGGACCCCAGGCAGCTAGGACTCAGACCTGGGTGGCACTGAGGACTTCAGGGTGCGGTGAAGAATCCTCATGAGCCCTGGCCAGTTTGGCTCAGCGGTTAGAGAGACCCGGGTTCGGTTCCCGCTAAGGGCATGTACCTCGGTTGCAGTTTGTCCCCGGCCCTGGTTGGGGTTGTGTGGGTGGCAACTAGTTGATGTATCTCTCTCACATCGATGTTTCTCTCTCTCTCTCTCTCTCTCTCTCTCTCTTCCTCCTGCTTTATCTTAAGATAAATGCAAAAAAAAAAAAAAGTCCTCGGGTGAGGATAAAATAATGCAGACCTTGGCCTCGCTGCTCTGAAATCATGAGGGTGGGTCTGGGGTCAGGCCAGGTAACCTGCATGTTCACACTTACCTAACTGGCTGGGACCCAGACCTCACTCTGAGAGCCAGACTGAGAAGCTTCAAGAACTTGCTATGCCTGCCATTTAGGCGTGCAGGAGAGAGACCAGAACTCGGCCCCGCTCCCAGTGGACCCAGTGGTGACTTCAGCCCGGGGTCTCAGTTTCCTGTCTGTAGTGCAAGGAGGACATGTTAGCACCCACCACCTCCCAGGGTGCTTGTCAGTGGACCGAGTCCAGGACGGTGCCTGACATACTCAAACATCAGAAGGGTACAGGGAATCTCGCAAAAGAGCTGTGAAGATCAGCGTTGAAGACTGTTGAAAGCTTTCTTAGCAGAGCAGCAGAATGGGACTATATTAGACAAAGAATGAGCTGCAGAGACTCCAGGAATGCACCATCATGGTTTGATCTATCTAAAGATCTTTTTTTTTTTTTTATCTTCACCCGAAGACATTTTTCCATTTTTTACTCAGATAGAGCGTGAGGGAGAGAGAGAGAAACATCGACGTGAAAGGGACACATCGAGTGGCCGCCACCTGCATGACCAACCAGGGCTGGGGACAAACTGCAACCGAGGTACATGTCCTTAGCGGGAATGAAACCCGGATCTCTGTGGACCGCAGGTCGACACTCTTAACTGCTGAGCCAAACCGGACAGGGCATATCTAGAGATCTTTTTTATCACCCTTGACCAAGACTTCCTGTTTTGAAAGAAAAAGATTGTTGCTTAGCAACCTAGTACTACAGCAACTGTACTATTGGGTTCCTCCTAGAATTTGATTTTATAAAACCTTAATTAAAATGATGATGAGTTGACAAGTAACATGACAGTAAAAGCCATACACTAGATCTTTCTTCTGCCTTTATTTACGGGGAGAAGTGTTGTTAGGCACATACTTTCTTATCTCCAAAGCAATACATCATCTTACATATAATGAACCATATCCAGAAGTCTAAACACTTACTCCAATATTTGCATTCAATAATTTAACAATTTAATGTCTACTAGTATTTTTTTAATATACCATAATAGGGCCAATATCATCATTAAATGTTTCTGGTAATTTTCTCATTGATGTTTTTAGAGAGAGAAAACCCATATGAATTAGTGAAGAGACTAATTTATAGATTTAAAAGTAAATGTAATCAGCCCTGGCCGGTTTGGCTCAGCAGTGAGAGCATCAGCTCTTAGACCAAAGAGTACCGGGTTCGATTCCTGTCAAGGCCATGTGCCTTGGCTGCAGTTCGGTCCCTGGCCCTGGTTGGGGTCAGGTTCATGCGGGAGGTGGCCAGTCGATGTGTCTCTCTCACATCGATGTTTCTCTCTCTCTCTCTCTCTCTCTCTCTCTCTCTCTCTCCCCCTCTGTCTTTCCCTTCCACTCTGCCTGAAAATAAATGGAAAAATATCCTTGGGTGAGGATTTAAAAAAAAGTAAATGAAATCAAATTAAGTACAAACTCAGACTCCAGCATTTAGATGATTTTAGGGGGGGGGCCTACTTATTTAGTAAATGAGTCCTTTGTAATTAGGTTTAGCAATTTCCATATGGTTAAGAAGTCCTCAAAATTTATTTTCTTAAACAGATTAACATGTTTTCACAAAATCTTTATTATACTGCCAGTATATTCCTACTTATTCATCGACAGTAGAAAGCTAATTCCTTAACACGGTCCCAACTGGAGTGGTTTGAGTAATGCGGTTTGATCGTAAATCAGCTGTGGAAATGGAGCACGTTTAGTGATGAGCATGTTTTCAGGTGGAGTGTTAGAAGGCCTGTTTCCTCGCTGGAGCAGGTGTGTGGCTTCTGCCCCCACGGGCTGTGCAGACTTCAGGGCTCACGCTCTCAGGACCCTTCCTGGTAGGACATGTGTCCTGTGACTGTCTGAGGCCGAACTCAGGACTAATATGAGATCGGACAGAATTCCTGGACCCTCACAGAAAATGCTGGCTCAGGGGTTCTGAAGGGAATGTCACTCCACATTTTGAGAGAAAAATGTCTTTGGAAAAGGAATTCTGATTTTTGAGCCACTATTCATAGCGAGGGGAAATTGCACGTAAATGCATCACAAATCCATCAGCAGTCTATCATCTTCATTTTTGCTGATGTTATTGCTCTTTTCTTTCATTTTCAATTTTACAGTGAATATAAAGTTAAAAGAGAAGTAGACTGATTTTATTTTTAATAATTTTGAGGAATTTGAACTTAAGCATAGATGATATTTGGGGGCCTTTAGAACAATTTGTTAACTAAATGTAGAAGTAGTAGTTCAATTTGAAAAAGTTAGGAGAAGGTAAGCAGGTACTAAGGAAATCACTAAAATAATTCAGAAGTGAAAATGTGCCCTCAAACGCAAGCTGACCTGTGGTGTTTACATGCTGTCTTACCTTACACAGTGACAGTATTTTGTTAACAGGTTTTCTTGTTCACACTTACACTGAACACCTGACCACCTGCATGATTTTCTGTGCATCCCTGTCCTGCTCATTCCATACCTATGCTCCCTCCCACCCACCTTGACCCAGACTCTCTTGGGAATCTCTTGTTATAATAAACCCAAAACTAGCCCTCCTCCCCAAATTGTGATCTGAATACAAAGATGACCATTCTGCAATTTTTTTTTCTTTTGCAGAGAGCAAGGGAGAGGGTACCACATAAGAAAAGTTTCTATTTAAATTCAAGTTATCATTATATTGGGGGGAAATGCCCCAATTTTACAAAACTGTGGAGTTGACAGTCTGACATGAGCCATTGTGAGAAGTCGAAGGACTTAAAATCACAGGTCCTTGGCTTTTACTGTGGACCACAACTCGCACGTTAGTCTGCATCAGGATCCGCAGGGTGCTTGTTGGATGTCAGAATCCTGGGGCCTGATATTCCAGGTTAGGCCTGGGGTGGAGCCCAGGACCCACTAACCCCATGAGGCCTGTATCTCGAGAAACACACGCCTAAGCAGGGTCTCCACTGCTCTAGCTTAAAAGATGCCGCATAGAATCTCAGAAAAGGACCACGTTTACTTAAAAGTTCTCAGGTAATACCACTAAGGAAAGAACCCTGTTCTCTAGTCAGAACTATGCAGGAGGCCGCGAGTACAGCCCTTATTTGAACAAACCTGCAGCCAGCCTAGCACACAGTAGGTGAATGAACGAATGTTAACGAAGGTAAGAAATAAACAGATGGATCAATCTTTCATTCACTTTTCACTTTTGAACCCCGAGTTAAATGATTCTCTATTTAGGGCTTTATAACTCTAAAAATGTACATGACACGAAACATTTCTTTTATAACACTGCATTTCTGTCAGCTCTCAAGTTCAGGGCACTGCATGGGATTCTGAGCTTAAAGATAAAAAGCGATGGAGCACCCTGTCTGGGTGGCTCAGTTGGGCAGAGCGTTGTCCCGTACACTAAAATGTTGGGGGTTCAATTACCAGTCAGGGCACAAACCTAGGTTGTGGTTTTGATCCCTAGTCAGGGTGCTTATGGGAGGCAATCAACTGATGTTTCTCTCTCACATCGGTGTTTCTCTCTCTTTCTCTCTCCCTTCCTCTCTCTGAAATCAATAAATATATCCTTGGACGAGGATTTAAAAAAATCTAACGTAGCCCTGGCCAGTTTGGCTCAGCAGTTAGAGCGTCGGCCTGCGGTCCGGAGAGACCCGGGTTCGGTCCCGCTAAGGGCATGTACCTCGGTTGCAGTCTGTCCCCGGCCCTGGTTGGTCGTGCGGGTGGCAGCCACTCGATGTGTCCCTTCACGTCGATGTTTCTCTCTCTCTCTCCCTTCCTCTTTCTCCCTCCCACTCTATCTGTATAAAAAATGGAAAAATATCCTCGGGTGAGGATAAAAAAAAAAAAAATCTAACGTAGCAAAATCTCCCTCCTCCCCCACTTTTAATACATCTGTACAACTGTCACCGCATGTTGGGGACCTGTGACGTTAGCACGTGGAAGACGGACGACCTGAGAGTGGGAGTCCCCCTAGCTGTGAATTTTGAAAGGGGTTAGACGGCTCCAGCTGTCGTGCTCCTTGGACCTCCTGGCAATCAGTCCCAGCTTCACAGCAGAATTCAGATGGCTGGGCGTGACTTCCGGGAGGTGAGCTGTTGAGACAAGTATAAGCCCCCTGTCTGCTATCCAGAGGGCTCAGTAGAATGTCAGGCAGACGAATGACACAGTGAATTTGACATATAATGCCCGTCGGAGGGGAATGTGTGCCTCCTAGTCACCTAGTTTTTTTTTTTGGTTTTTTTTTTATTTATCCTCACCCGAGGACATTTTTTTCCATTTTTTGCACAGATAGAGTGGGAGGGAGAGAGAGGAAGAGAGAGAGAGAGAGAAACATCGATGTGAAAGGGACACATCGAGTGGCTGCCACCCGTACGACCAACCAGGGCCGGGGACAAACTGCAACCTAGGCACATGCCCTTAGCGGGAACCGAACCCGGGTCTCTCCGGACCGCAGGTTGACGCTCTAACCGCTGAGCCAAACCGGCCAGGGCTAGTCACCTAGTTTTTGAGGGAGAAGCCCTGCCCTGAGGTTATGGACATGGCCGCACACAGCCCCTGGCACTGGATAGCCATATATGAGGCACAGCTCAGCCTGGGGACAAGGACACTGCATGCACCCAGGGCCACATGGGGCTCCCCTGGGGACTGAGTGACCAGCCAGGCACTGTGGGAGACAGGCCTTGTGTCAAGAGGATGTGGTGCCCGTGGTCCCCAAGGGAGGACAGGACAGTGAAAATGCCACCCTAAAGGAATAATGAATAACGGGGGCTGAATAAAGTGGGCTGGCCGGGAACAGGAGCCCACCACGCAGGCGTAGGCGGGGCGTGCTGGTGTCCTGGTAAGGAGCGTGGCTTGGCGAGGGGCCCTCGGTGGGGCGGAGTGCCAGCCAGGCCTCCTGACTGATGTCAGGGCAGCATGTCCTACGGAGCGCTCACTGGGCCTCTCACCACGGGCTGTGCCTTCCTTTATCAAACTTTGTGTCTTTTTTCCTAGTTGAAGAGTGTGATCCAATTCCTTTGAACTGCCCAACAAATTCTGATGTGCAACATCAGGTAAGAGTCATTTCAATTATATTTTTATCCTCAGGTATGTATAATCTATTTTAAGATAATAAAATAGGTTTGGAAATTATCTTTAAGCATCCCAGTATTGTAGTATATCCACAGAACTTACGTTACTTGTCACTGTGGTAGCTTGAATCCATTCTGTCAAATAAAACTTACCTAAAACTTACCTATCTGCCAAAACAATCTGTGTTCGTGAGTTGAAAGGAGAGTTGCTTTCTCTCACAAGTAGTGGATAGGGACTTTATTGATATTTTTCCATTGATTGTTTTTTTTTTTTTAAAGAGAGTCGAAGGAAGAAAGGGAGAGAGAGAGAGAAACATTGAAATGAGAGACACATTGATTGGTTGCCTCCCGTATGCGCTCTGACCAGGGATCGAGCAACCTGGGTATGTGCCCTGACTGGGAATCTAGCCCCCAGTGTATGGGACGACATTCAACCAACTGAACCACCTGGACAGGGCCAAAGTTAAGTTTTACTTTATTTTTTAATCCTCAGCCGAGGATATTATTTCATTTATTTTTCAGACAGAGTGGGAAGGAGAGAGAGAGATAGAGAGACAGAAACATAGATGTGAGAGAGACACATCGATGCTGACCAGGGCCGGGGACCAAACCACAACTGAGGTATATGCCCTTGACCAGAACCGAACCCACAAGTTTTTGGTCTGCAGGCCAACATTTCAACCACTGAGGCAAACCGGCCAGGGCTGAAGTTAATTTTTAACAAGACAAATTTGAAGTTCTGTTTAGTCTGACTTGTAATAAATCATTAGTAAGGATTAGTGTGTAATAAATCATTAGTAATGACATTTGTGGGTAGCCAAATTACTTCTGTAAATAGAGTTATTCAATACAGTTGATAAAATACGCAATTCTGATTATAAATACAGCTCTCTTGAAAGTTGTCAGTGATGTTACTTTCACTTTGATCTGGGGGTCTTCAGTCACCCACTGAATATCTTACTCTTATTTGTTAGTTTCCAACTCACCTTTCCTTGGAATGACCGTCTGATGATCGACTTTGACGCTAACTGTGAATCGTTCTAGTAACCTAATGTATACATTTTTCCTTTCTTACACTTCTTCATTTTTTTACAAAGTTTTGTTCTTCCCATGTTTTGTGACATGATGTAGGGTCCCTTGAAGATACAAGAATGCCAGCTATATTGTTTAGTTTTCTTTTAGGGATTTTCCAAAACCATTTAAGATTGGGTACAGAATATACATTAGAACACTGTTCAGGGTTTTTTCTAATTTTTGTGTTATAGTTCTTTCTATGTGAAGTAAAGACTGTCCTAAAAGATGAACATATATTTATCAACTAAAAAAAGGGGGGGGGGGGACCTATTTGATTTTTTTTTCAGTTCTGTTTTTAAAAAGTATGTTTTATATTCCTACAAAAACTAGGCCTGTACGTGGCTCCTTCAGGTTATTTCTTTGTCTAATCCACAGGATTTGTTCTAACGGCTGGATAGCCAGAAAGAGTCTTTGAAACCAACTTGGCAGTCAGAACAAAGGGAACTCACTAGGGGAGAAACGTTTAAAACAAAACAAAAAAACCCACACTCCATTTTCTTAGCTCTGACAGTAAAAGCAAGCTGAAAACATGCTCTTCAGAATATTAAATATTTGCTGTTTTAGTGATTTTTTTAAATCCTCACCTGAGGACATTTTTCTGTTTATCTTCAGTTGGAGTGGGAGAGGGAGAGAGAGAGAGACACTTCGACTAGTTGCCTCCCGCATGACCCCGACCAGGGTTGGGACCGAACTGCAACCAAGGTACACGCTCTTGGCCAGAATCAAACTCGCAACTCTCTGGTCCACGGGCTGACGCTCTAATCACTGAGCCAAACTGGCCAGGGCAACTTTCTAATGATTTTTATAACAAAAAATAAAATCCTCCATGAAGACTGACTTTTAGCTGCCTTGTTTGAATGATGTAAAGAAAAAACATTTGGGCGTCAAAAATTACAGTCTGACATCTCAGACAAGATTTTATAAAGAACCCTTTACTTTTAGTAATTTAAAACCAATACCCGTCTACTAGGACTGTCAGACTCCTCTGATTTATTACAACCGGTATGTATGAGCCCTGCGGCCAGCTGGACGGTGTTTGGACGTTGGCAGAGCTGGAGGGAGGGAGACGGGACCGGCCGAGCTCCCGGGCTGGTTGAGAAGCAGTGCACACGTCTGAGTCTTGTATTCAAAAACTCCAGTGGCACTTCACATGAGAGAAAACATTTCCCAGAACCCTTATCAAACAGTAGTTTTTACTGCTTTACCTAAGTGCACAAGTATACGGCTAATGATAGTAAAACAAACCTTGTTCCAGTGTAGCCAACATCCCACAGCAAGAGGCTGAAGTTATAAGAAAAACAGTAAATAATTGGATACTAAGTTGGAGTTAGAGGTTATGGAAAGAATGACATTTCCTCTATTAATGTTGTTTATTTGGTTCTTCTACCAACCTAATGTGTGTGTGTATGTGTGTGTGTGTGTGTGTGTGTGTTTTAAGTTTTTAAAACCACATTTAATTGTGATAAAAGTACAATACTAATGTAAGATGTTAATAAGGGAAACTGGGTGGATGATAGACTGTCTATACTCTCTTCTCAAATTTTCTGTAAATCTAAAACTATTCTAAGAAAAAAATTAACTTACAAAACCACACTAAATAAAATTTAGAATCTAGGAAAATGAAAAAATTCACCCACAATTCCACTACTCCAGTGCAACTGTCTTTGTCATTTTGATGTATTCTCCTGTCCAGTTTTATATGGATAATTATAAAAACTGAAAATAATTGTCTGTCTTGCTTTTGTTATATAAAATTATCTCACAAACAGTTCATGCAGTTTGCTCCACGGCCTCGCCCTGGAGTGGCCGCATCGTAACATCGCTGCCAGTCTGAGCTTGGCCTGAGTGATGACATGTGGAGGGCGGGAAAGGAGGGAAGGCAGCAGAGTTATTAGGGATGAAGAGTTTGTTCTGTTGGTCCAGCAGGGAGGCCTCAGGCCTTGGAGAACTAGGCTGTGGCGTGATAGTGCTCGATGAATTGGAAATTATTACAAGAAGAGAGAGGACGAAACATCCACGCATCCATCCATCCACCCATCAAGTAGCTGAGAGCCAAGACTGTATTAGCCCCATGGCTCAGGTGCCGGGACACAGTGGCGAGTGCTCAGAGCTCAGGGTCCGGTCCGGTGCACGTAGCGCTAGTCTCCGCCGAGCCGGAGTGGGGGTGGATGCTGGAAGAACAGAAGCTCCATCGCAAGGAAGCTGAGAAATGCTTCTCATTCCTAGGGAGCTCAGCACATGCGCATGAAGGACTCAGTTCCTTCCCCAGGGAATAGAGACTTGTTTCTGCCACCCCAGGGACCTGTCAGCCCTGCATCCAGTGCTTCCTCTAAACCTCAGGGGTGTGGACTCTCATGGAAGTCTGGAGGGCTGCGGGCTTGATCCTGAGGCCCTAGGAAGTTTCTGGAGCCTTCCCATGGGGCGATGGGGTCAAAGGGGTGTTCTAGGAAGGTTGGCCTAGCAGTGGCTTGCCCAGGGTGTGGGTAGGAAAAAGCCTGAGGCCAAGAGACCCCAGGTGGCTGTTAGAGTCACCCAGGAATATAACCCGAAGGGCCTGGAGGCAGGCGCTGGTGGGAGAACGAACAGGGGCCAGTGTGGTGCAGACACTTTCTTTTCTTTAAAAAAAAATTTCTTTTTTATTATTGATTTTTAGAGAAAGAAGAAGGGAGAGGGAGAGAGAGAGCAACATCAATGAGAGAGAACATCGATTGGCCGCCTCCTGCATGCCCCCCACTGGAGATCGGGCCCACAACCTGGGCCTGTGCCCTGACTGGGAAACAGCCGGCGACCTCTTGGTGCAGGGTTGACCTCAACCACCGAGCCACACGGGCTTGGACAGACACTTTCATTGGGGCCTCGGCTACAGAAGTGTCTTGTGTCCCAGTTCTGAGCCTGTGAGTCAGAGACCCAGGTATCAGCAGGCGGCTCCTTCCCAGGCCTTGAGGGGAGTCAGTTCCAGGCCTCCCCCCTCACATTGTGGACCCATCTTCTCGGAGCCCCTAATGTCGCCTTCCCTCTGTGCGTACCTGTATGCACCCAGCCTTCCCCCTTTTCTCGGGACACCGGTCGTATTGGTTTAGGCCCCCCCTTGGGACCTCGCTTTACCTGGACTACAGTCACACTCTGAGCTGGGGGGGAGGGGTGGCTTTAGCGCATCCCCTTCTGGGACACAGTTCAACCCCAACAATGTTTGAAATCAGAATAAAACCAGAACCAAACAGCAACAACAACACCTTTTGAAGGAGAGATGGAAAGGATTTGGGCTGACAGGACCTGGGCCGCTTCAGAGCATCCCAGCTGGTGGCCAGGCGCCTGGCCAGGCCACTGTCACAAACAGGACAATAGCCTATCAGGGCAGAGGGGGAAAGTGGGTTAATCTGCTGTAAGCTCTTAAAATGCACTTCACACTTGCTTTGTGGGTGTGTAACCTGGACAGACCTGTGGGTGCAGGCGTTCCTGATGGTGAGAGCGCGGGCGGCCGGGCGGGGTGCAGCGGCCGCTGTGCTGGGGCCGGGCGGCGGGCAGGCACCGGGGCACGGCTCGGGCTTCGGAAGGCTGAGGACAGCAGTGAAGGGCATCGGTGCGGAGAGTCCCAGGAATCGGGCTGGGCCCCTCGGTTCACCAGCCTGGCCTCTTCTGCCTCACAGGCCAAGTTGGCAGTGTGGTCTGCAGGGCACCCACAGGCCAGGTTCCTCCCTCCAGAAGCCCACAGGCCCAGAGATGGGACACACCCGACTGTGGGGCTCCCCCAGGCACAGGCCAGGGCTCTCCGGTGATTTGGGGGAGGAGGGGGCAGGCCTCAGAGAGAGACCACTGTGCCATTGTTGAGGGAGGCAGGTGAGTGTAGGGAAGGAGAGGCCAAGTTGTAGGAGCTTGAGCTTCTAGAACAGCAGGAAGAAAAGCTGGGC